TTTTGATGAGCCTAGATAGTAAGATAAGAAATGAGAGAATGGATTTGACAGTCAGATGATATGAACCAAGACCCCAAGGATGGATAACGCAATCCAGTTTATAAGTGTTTATCCAGCAGATAGTGATCATAGTGCTATACGTTTTATGAACATTTATCAGTACTTGAACCGTATCACAAGTCAAGTCCGTCCTAAGTCAAGCTCAGATCGAGTCACGAGTCGGGTTCAAGTCAACTCAATTCTATTTCGTTTTTGTAAAGTGATATTGATAGAAAATACCCTATTATTGTTGCCATCGGGGAAAAAACAAACAAACAAACAAAAACTCAAACTCGTGCACTTAACTAGGTTGTTTACCTTTTCGTTTAGTCGGAATTCGTTCGAATTCCCGCATTATTAATTGTTACTTTAGCGCTGTTACCTAGTTACAGAATTGTCACAAAGTTTACAAGGGCTGTTATTATCAGATCTCCGGTGACAAGCACAACTGATGCTCTTACCACAAAAATAATTGACTCGTATTTAAAAATTTCAACTTCATATTCATGCATGTGACAAAGCTTATTTCATGGTCTATGTATTAGACCTCACGAACGGTCGTGAAAAAATTAAAAGTTTTAAGCCTAAAACTAGGTGTTCCTGTATCCCTGGTGCATAATTTTCACGCAGAGATCAAGCAAACATAGAAAAAATTGAAAACATGGGAAAAAAACGACTCGAAGTTGACTCGGCCCGGGCTCGAACCTAACTCGTGATACTGAAGAACTCTTTATCCGTTGGGTAGCGTTTTTGGGCCTTGGTCTACAGATATCTCGAGCTCGTAGTTTAATATTTGATTGGCTACAGGGCTGGTGCAACTGGAATAATTGGAAAATTACTAAATTAAGGGTGAATCGGAGACTTGTAAATTTACCGGAACAGATATCAAAACTTTACCTCGCTCTTTACTGTTTGCTGGAGAAGCGGGACCCCAATGGTTTTTACATTGGACTCCGGGTTGTAGATCTGAGCTGGTCGCAATGAGCCGCTCTTACTAAGATTATCAGTAGAGGAAGGTGTGGCAAATGTTTGGTCACGGGCTTTCGACCGTAAAAATTCGGTCTTGTCTCGTGCAACCTTTCACGTTTCTAATGGTAACCAAACATCATGAGACCTCCCGTCACCAACCGTCAATCATAAAAGCCCGCCAAAAGAGGTCAAAACAAACGTGGCCACCGGAAACGGAGTCAATTCCCCGGAACACAAATGTTACGTGACAACGTAATAACCAAACTTCCGTCGCGCCTCGAACAACTGAAAATCGTTGTAGGTGCTACGCTGGTTTAAAGATTTAATGAATGTAACCGAGTAAACCAGGGTAGCGTCAAATCATGTCGGATACCGGTAAATTATCAGGCAAGTCTGTCAAATGGGGCTGATAGAGAGGGGGGGTAATACAGGGGATAACTGCGATGAATAACATCCCATCTCGGGTGGGGAGGCAACACTTTACATGTGACTCCTCAACGCTTCGCTCCCTAGAAACCTGGATGTAAGGTTTGTCAGTACGGACTGTGTGGGGTCATGCACCAGACTCAACTATATTTCTTACGCTACTGTGCTTGTTACAGGCGAGTTACTGGGTAACATGCTTCACCGTTTCCCGTTCATGGAGAAGGCCGAGATTCGTCAAATGATCAATGGTCCCGAGAGCTTCACTCCGGACGGACGATATTTGTTGGGAGAGGTACCTGAGGTGGGTTTGGAATAAAATGATCGCCGATTATGTTTAGTTGTAGCGCGTGATCGTTTATTTAACTTAAAGGTTTTTAGGANGCATCACGTGCAAAAATAATTTATTCAAACCCTGCAAGTGACATTGACCTTGACATTGACCTTGACATTGACATTGACCAATCATTCTGACCAATCAGAATGTTCGGTTTGTTTCTTTCTTTGCACTGAAATAACCCTCTTCTGCACTGAATTAACTCTCTTCTGCACTGAATTAACTGAAAACTGCATTCATCTTAACCAATCAGAACTGAGAAATTTTTTCATGTATATTATTAGTACTGAAAGTATGAATTAATGATAGGGCTAATAAAGAAGTGAAGAAAATGAATGAAAAGATAGTTGAAGAAAACATTACAAGAAAAATAACCCAAGAAAGAGAATTATTTCCTTAAACTGTGAAAAGTACTTGAAGATAAAAATTGCATCAAAGTACTTCAAAAACCATTAAGGTACATTTTAAAAAGGCTAAGAAATATAATATGATGAATAAATAACTATTTAGTTTTTTCTTAGTTATTTAATATTGTTTTCAACTTTTTTTTTGTCAATACCTTTTGTTATTTTAGTATTTAAAGCCTCCTACACTTATCATTCTTTTTGACTTGATAGTGGCATTATGTTAATGTTGAAATGTTGTCAGCAAGCCTTTTTTTAGCCTTTTTAAACTGCATCTTTATGGTTTTGGAAGTATTTTATTGCAATTTTGTTATCCTCAAATGAACTGTGAAAATTTCCAAAAAATGATTTTTTTTCATTTACTTTTTTTGTGACAGAGATTTGAAAGTAATCATTCTTGGTGATACTAGCGTTGGAAAAACCTCATTGATCCAAAGATATCTTCATGGAGTCTTTCAAGGAAACACCATCAGTGTAAGTGTTCTAGAAGAGCTTTAGAACTAATGTTCATTGAATTTTCTGAAAATGACTAGACTAGTACAAGAATATAATGTGGCTGACCATAGTACAGTACATGGTTTCCACTCACCAACAAGTACCCTGAAGCTTACAGTTCAACCCACCAGAAAATCAAAAGTTAGACAGTGGGAATCCTTATTGGTAACTAAAATAATCTCCCTCTTTTTGCCCACAGCCTTTATTCCTATTTTTTTTTCTTAATTTTATTGCTTTTCATTTAATTTTTCATGTTTGATTGTATTGCATTGCTGTACTGCTGCCTTACCAAATTTAGCTCAGACCTATTGGTTAGAAAATGGCCAGCAGTGAGCCCATAAAGGGCTGACAGTCAGTCCATACGTGACTGACCACTGGCAGACAGACTACCAATAAAGAGTTCTTCACTTTTATCAACCCCTTCAGCGAATTTATGGCCAGACAGACTGTATGATTGGACCAGGTTTAAATAAGACATTAATGCTAAAGACTGACCATTTTCCTCGGCCGAAATATTTGACTGCCGTTTTTTCCCACAGACTATCGGAGCATCTTTCTTTCTAAAGCAGTGGGGACCCTACAATGTTGCTATCTGGGTAATGGAATCAATGTGTATTCTGTAGATTACAAGAAATTACTGTCAAAAGATTGTTAATTTTTGTCGTAAGAGCAGACTTGATGTGGTCATCGAAAATGCAAAACTAACAGCCAATCAAGCTACATTCATCATTGGCCTCGGAGAACTCAAATAAAACAGGCAAACTACCCAAAAGGGCGGGAAAACGTGGGCAGGTCACGATTGGCTTAAGGTTTATGTCTAAAGGCGGCGAAATACGAGATACAAAAATCCTCAACTTGGCGCGCAACATTGTTTCGTTGCAAGTTTTGGCCGATGTTTCGCGTTTTTCACCTTGCGTGATCAACTTGTCTCGCAACGAAAACATTTGTTGCAGGTTGAAAGAATTTGTTGCTCAAAGTTGACCCGCGCTCTACTTTTCGCAACAAATTTCTTCAACCTGCAACAAATGTTTTTGTTGCGAGACAAGTTGATCACGCAAGGTGAAAAACGAGAAACATCGACCAAATCTTGCAACGAAACAATGTTGCGCGCCAAGTTGGGGGTTTTTTGCATCTCGTATTTCGCCGCCTTAATTGGTTGAGGGAACAGCACTAGTTTCGTGGACCAATCACAGAGTGTTCAAGAACTGCAAATCAAGGTAATCCCAGATTACCTTCGATACCCGATTGAAAATTTCTCAAGCCGCCACACAGTGACCTGACTAAATTGTGGTCCTCGCCTTTCGATGTTATCAGCGCTTCTTGTCGAATCATTATTTTAGAGATTTGTAGCGATTACTGTTAGGAAATTTTCAAAGTTTTCCAAAAAAGGTCAAATGACAAGTGCGTAGTTGACCACGACCTAAATGGGATCTCTCGTTTTGGAGTATTGGTGTGTATTCAGAGAAAGGAAAACAACCAAAAAAAAATATGAATTTTGTTTACAGTAAAAGACAACGACAACAAAACTACTGTGAAATGGTACAAGGGGGGAGGGGTGGGGAGAGCAAATGCTTAACACTGAAGATAATGAAGAGGAAAAGGTGCCAGAGGAAAGATATTTTATCGAAGGTGTTGTCAGCCGCCTTTAAGTCTTTTCTTTTCGTTTTAGGACACTGCAGGTGAAGAGAGATACTCAGGCCTTTCCTCATTTTACTGTCGGGGCGCTTCAGCAGCTATTCTGGCTTATGACATCTCCCAAGGCAAATCTCTTCGCGCGCTAAGAGAGCGCTATATACAATTGCTTGACGCATC